TGACCCGTTTGATTAAAATTTGTATAATGAATTAATTTCAATTTGATATCATTTTAAAACAATAAAATCTGAATTTTGAAAACTTGTAAATTTGTTTAATCTATGAAAATAAGAAAATCATATTTTTCCAAATTTGATATGTTTTTTCTTTACTTATGATATGATTGATATATATTGTTTAGAGAACTGACAAGTTGGAGGCGATACATTTAGCTTCATCCTTATTCTTCTAACTATAACCATTAATTTCATGTTTGCTTGTTATATTTGTATAGGATTTGCCCGAATGGATGTTTGATCAACCAATGTTACTTATAAACATATTTAATGGATCATCTTTTGACTCAAACTAATTATTATGATCATAATTATTATAATAATTAACACTATTGTAGTAAAGTATTTATTATTTTATTAACACAATATAAATTTTGATGTTTAAATTTTTGCTACTCTATAAACTTCTCTCTTTGCTCATCTTGTATATTATCTATATACTAGCGGATGTGTACCCGGCTTCGCCCGGGTTTTATCCGAGTGAAAGTTTGCCTAACGAATATTATATATTATGAAGTATAATAAACAATGTTAAAGATTAGTTTTAATTATTAATCAAGATTGTGTGTGAATATGTGAGAAAGATGTAATATCGTTGTTGTTTTCTTGGCCGACTGTTTTACATATGGTGTTATCTTAAAATTGCTTGTTTTGAATATTTTTTTTAGATTGAGTTGAATGAATTGCTGAACTTTTTTTTTGTATTTATATATAAATAAAATTAACTCTGTTGATTTTTTTTTTGTATTTAATCGATAACAGCGAAGTTACGCATGTTAAAGTTAGGAAAAATATTTTGATGTTAAGCAAAACCTGCTCCATCTCGTTTTACATAAATGTTGAAAATTTGGTCGAAATTGATGCATTGTAACGAAGGTTTTTAGTGAACAACACTTATGAAATTTGCATTTTATTAATATAGATATAAAAATGAATGTATGTGTGTGTGTGTGTCTGTCTGTCTGTCCTTTATGCCTGACCAAACCACTCATTGGAACGCCATGAAACTTTGGGAAGTTATTTAGTATAGTACTGGGAAGGTTTCTAGCAAATAAAATTTTTGAAATAACTTTTCGCCTAAAAATAATCAAGATAAATATTCTAATTTATCTGTTATAATTCAACAATCTGCTCTAAATATTATCATGATGATACGATGATTTTGTAATGTAGAAAATTAGGAAAGACAAAATTCAGGATGACACGGCAATTTATTTGAGACAAGAATAATGATACAATTCATATGCAAGATACTATTCCTTTAACTTACAATTACCGAGGGAACCAATTAATATTGATTTTATTCAACTTATCGAGTATTTTTCAAGGGACCGGGAAAAATGTTCACTTTATCGAGAGATTCGTTAGACAAACCTTTGCTCGGGTAAAACCCGGGCGAAGCCGGGTACGCGTCCGCTAGTCAATTATAATTTATTCTTGCCTTAAATAAATTGTTGTGTCATCCTGAAGTTTTTCTTTCCTAATTTTCCATGTGGCACTATCATTATTGGTATCATCATTATCATTTACGATGGAGGGGAGAAGGTTAGCCCTACATAAGTAGCCTGACATATATATTGAAAGGAATTAGCTCATCAGTGGTGAACCCTCCTAGCGGTTTTTGTCAGTTTGATCCACTAGAATGCTAAAAATTATTGCAAAGTGTTTTATGCATTTTGCTGGACAAATCTATTAGGAAAATGGCGTTTAGCTCAATTATTGAGATTTGATTTCTTTCCACCTTCGTTGTAGTTGGGTTGTGTACATTTGTTCCTTTAAAAAACTAAAACCAAAGCTTTGGCGCTGATAATAACGATAATTTCATATTTTCACCGATAGAGGGCGTGTTATGTCGTGTATTCACGTATGATAAATAACCGGTATAATACGACTTATCGGATTTAATCGTATTTGACTATTTCAGCATTTTCTACGTTCTCACTCGCGATGTAAACTCAAATATTTTGCGAACATTTTTTAAGTGGGTCATATATCAAATAATAGAACCATTACCCGTTTGATTGAAATTTATATAATTACTTAATATTTCAATCGGAGATAATTTTTTGAAACAAAAAAATCTGAATTTTGAAGAATTGTAAATATCTTATATAGATAACTAGACGTATGACCCGGCTTCCCCCGAGAATTCCCCCGATTGCAATTTCCTTCATACTGAAAGTACATCAATAATAAATATTAGAAGTGCCATAGAATAGCAATACAGAAGTAACACATAAACTACAGGAAAAAAGTGTGTGTGATGGCAAAAATTGTATTATATTAGTGTTTAAGTATTTGATTTAATTAATATAGTTGATATAATCTATATATATAAAATTCAATGTCTGTCTGTCTGTCTGTTTGTCTGTACTCTATAGATTCAAAAACCATACATCCAATCGCCGTGAAATTTTGGGATATTATTAGGTATATCACCGGGAAGGTTTTTGAAAAATAATTTCATGAATATCTTGAATATCCTTAGAGTTATTTGCAGATTTGTGGATTTAACTCGCAAGCAGCGCCCCCATTGTGACGATGATAACAAGTTTTCTTATCACTAAGTTTGTTATCTTAAATATTATTTATCAAAAGTAAGATTATCTCAGGATGACACGTCAATGTGACACGGGAAAAAATGTTCACTAGATAAAACTATGATTTTCTAATGTAGAAAATTAGGAAAGACAAAATTCAGGATGACACGGCACACAGGGACCGGGAAAAAATGCTCACTTTATAGAGAGATTCAAATTTACGAGTTTCAAATTATCAAAATATATCTTTTTTTTTTTAATAAGCTTTGAGAGAATTGTTTTAACAAATGTTCGCTAGACAAACCTTTACTCGGGTAAAACCCCGGGCGAAGCCGAGTACGTTTTATAAGTTTATAGAGAATTGTTTTAACAAATGTTCGTTAGACAAACATTCACTCGGGTAAAACCCGGGCGAAGCCGGGCACATCCGCTAGTAATATATATTTATCTATATATATAAAAATGAATGTATGTGTGTGTGTCCTTTATGCCTGACCAAACCACTGATTGGAACGCCATGAAACTTTGGGAAGTTATTTAGTACAGTACTGGGAAGGTTTCTAGCAAATAAAATTTTTGAAATAACTTTTCGCCTAAAAATAATCAAGATAAATATTCTAATTTATCTGTTATAATTCAACAATCTGCTCTAAATATTATCATGATGATACGATGATTTTGTAATGTAGAAAATTAGGAAAGACAAAATTCAGGATGACACGGCAATTTATTTGAGACAAGAATAATGATACAATTCCAAGGCAAGATACTATTCCTTTAACTTCCAATTACCGAGGGAACCAATTAATATTGATTTTATTCAACTTATCGAGTATTTTTCAAGGGACCGGGGAAAAAAATGTTCACTTTATCGAGAGATTCGTTAGACAAACCTTTACTCGGGTAAAACCCGGGCGAAGCCGGGTACATCCGCTAGTATTATCTATATCTATATATATATAAAATTGAATGTCTGTCTGTCTGTTTGTCTGTCTGTCTGTACTCTATAGATTCAAAAACCATTCATCCAATCGCCGTGAAATTTTGGGATATTATTAGGTATTTCCCCGGGAAGGTTTTTGAAAAATAATTTCTTGAATATCCCGAATATCCTTAGAGTTATTTGCAGATTTGTAGATTTAACTCCCAAGCAGCGACGATGATAACAAGTTTTTTTATCTATAAGTTTTATTATCACAAAGTTTATTATCTTAAAGATTATTTATCAAAAGTAAGATTTTCTGCCTATTAATTGCGCACAAGTCAAAGTTAGTTTTATCATTTATCTACAACATATATATTGGGAGAATAGATAAAATGATGATTTTGTAATGTAGAAAAATAGGAAAGACAAATTCAGGATGACACGGCAATTTATTTGAGACAAGAATAATGATAATTAATATTGATTTTATTCAACTTATCGAGTATTTTTCAAGGGACCGGGGAAAAAATGTTCACTTTATCGAGAGATTCGTTAGACAAACCTTTACTCGGGTAAAACCCGGGCGAAGCCGGGTACATCCGCTAGTATTATCTATATCTATATATATATAAAATTGAATGTCTGTCTGTCTGTTTGTCTGTCTGTCTGTACTCTATAGATTCAAAAACCATTCATCCAATCGCCGTGAAATTTTGGGATATTATTAGGTATTTCCCCGGGAAGGTTTTTGAAAAATAATTTCTTGAATATCCCGAATATCCTTAGAGTTATTTGCAGATTTGTAGATTTAACTCGCAAGCAGCGACGATGATAACAAGTTTTTTTATCTATAAGTTTTATTATCACAAAGTTTATTATCTTAAAGATTATTTATCAAAAGTAAGATTTTCTGCCTATTAATTGCGCACAAGTCAAAGTTAGTTTTATCATTTATCTACAACATATATATTGGGAGAATAGATAAAATGATGATTTTGTAATGTAGAAAAATAGGAAAGACAAATTCAGGATGACACGGCAATTTATTTGAGACAAGAATAATGATAATTAATATTGATTTTATTCAACTTATCGAGTATTTTTCAAGGGACCGGGAAAAAATGTTCACTTTATCGAGAGATTCAAATTTACGAGTTTCAAATTATCAAAATATATCCATTATTTTTTACTTATGTTATATTCAAATGACATTTATGTAGGGATAATTTTATTTTTAATTTTCATTTTGGTGTATTGTATACATTTGATCATTAACAAATAATTATTTAGGTATTAAAACTGCCTCTTTGTTCAAAGACAGCAACGTTTGAACGGGTACAGCTAGGTGGAGCAGATAATCCAACATAAAGTTATCTTGCCAAGTATAGATTCAGTAGGGATTGGATGTTTTCTAGAATTGTTTTAACTAATGTTCGTTTGGTAAACTTTCACTAGGGTAAAACCCGGGCGAAGCCGGGTACATCCGCTAGTATAAATCGAATCGAACCCTGGCCGCCCGCGTGGCAGGCGAGCATTCTACCACTGAACCACCGATGCTTATAAAAAATGGCCATATTTGGGTATTCATTCCATTCCGGATTACTCCGCGTAAAAAAAAAAAGTTCTTCAAATGAAAAAATAAATAGCCAAAAATACTAATCAAAATGTAGCCGAAAATTTTCCTCAGGTTTATAAAAAGCGACATGCAAAATTTGGTACCAATTGGTTCAGTAGTTTTTGAGTTTATCGCGAAACAGACAGACATTGACTTATATATATATATAGATAGATTATGGACAGTAGAAGTTCGTTTTATGTATAAATGAAACATTCGTGCTTTGATGTTTTCCTGTATATAGTTAGCGTGTTATAGCTTTATATTATTTGTATTATTTATTTAATCTTTCTCTCTCTTCCTGTAAAATAAGGAAGCAAAATGCAGCATTACAAATCTCTGGAGAGATCAGCTTGGAATGAATGCTGTCCCTCCAACTTGGAATTACCGAACTATTCTTGTGGATGAATTTGTATTAATTGGCTGTTGTGTGATATGAATGATCTAGCTAATGTATTGAACTTGGTGCCTTTTTTATTTACGCTGTTGGTAAAGATATAAGAATGAATTCAATGTGTATTCGCGAGATGATGGTATTCATGTACACCAGAAAGCGCATCTCTCCCTTTAAAAATACATTAAAATAGTACAGTTTTGAAGAAGGAATAAAAGATTTACGAAAATAAAAAATTTAAAAGAATCTTTAATTCCTTCTTCAAGATGTCTGGCGATTCCTTCTCTTGTAATAGTACAGTTTTGTAACCAATACATTTACTGGAAATGTGTTTATTTTCAATAATATCATCAAATATTATCTCTACAGACCTTATTGCAAAAGAAATAATATTTGATGATATTATAGAAAAGAAACACATTGCCAGTAAATTTATTGGTTACATTTTTGTTACAAATTTTATCGATAGATGACAATTAAATTTATAAATTTAATAGTAGATTTTGTTTATCACCCCTGAGCAGAAAGCAGAGATTGAGAAAACTAACACGTCACACACGTTATTTAGTTTCAGTCAATTTAGATAAATTTCAACTTGTAAATCATAATGTTTCGGGCTCTAGACGTACTGATATACTAGAATGAATGTGCCAAAAAAAGATTTCCCATGTGTGATTTACTAATGTGGTCTTCAGCTTATAAACACATTGAGGTTGTGTGGTACAAACCTGACACACACTGTTCTGGTGTTTTATAGTACAAGCTGTTTACATAATCAACAACAACAAAAATCTTTAAGACCTTTCAGTCTTATGCAGAATCTCCGAGTAGAAATGCAGGAATAACAGTAATAGTACCAGTAATAATCAATGTTATTATTATAATTTTTAAAGTTAATCCTATATAAAGATAATATGAAATTTGTATACAGGAAGACTAATTAAGACAATCAAGGTAATAAATAGATAAGTCTGGGTAAATTGGAGGAAAATAAATTTCTTATACCTGGATTTACCCCGGAGTCTCTGTAAGTGAAAAAAAAAAAAAGCAAAAGCTAATAATATATTTAATATTAATAGTGAAATTTATATATACAATAAAAACCTAATTAAAACAATTGAGGTCATAAACAGATTGGAAGCTGTTTACATCTGGTATGCAGATTGTATGCATTAACATGAAAAAAACAAACAAACAAAAACAAACATTAAAAATCAGAGATGGGGATATCTTTTGAGGAAGCTTGTTAATATTGGTAATCGTTATATTGATGAGGAAATAAACACAGCACATATTAATTTAATTACCGATCAAATATATTTTGTGCTCTTTATGACAAGGTGTCAATCATGATGTGAACAAAGGGCTGGTGGATCTAGGAAGTTGCATAGGAGGATACGACGATTATCGGTCGTTTAACGCTATTAGCACATGCGTACTTCACATATTATTTTGGAAATATTCAAATATCAGACTAATTTTTATCATTTTGGAGTGAGAAAATGTGATGTTAATATTGCTGAATCATAATTGGCAATAATGTGTGTTTTCTTATCTATATATATAATTGCCTTATTCTGTCTGAAGCTCACGGATAGAATGCGCGCCCATTGGCTGCCGGCGAACACGTGTCCTCCCTGCCCCCCTCTAGACAACCCTGTTATCAGCTGTGTGATACATCCACCTGTCTATACGGTCCACCCTGTCTATAGCGGTCACCTTAGGCAACCCTGTTATCATCAGTGTGTTACATTCACCTGTCTATACAGACCACCCTGTCTATAGCGGTCACTTTAGGCAACCCTGTTATCAGCAGTGTGATACCTGTCTATACAGACCACCCTGTCTATAGCGGCCACTCTAGACAACCCTGTTATCAGCTGTGTGATACATACACCTATCTATACAGACCACCCTGTCTATAGCGAACACCCAAGACAACGTTTTTAAAATATATTCGCACTCGGGTAAAACCCGGGCGTTGCCCGGGCCATTCGTCTAGTAATAATAATATTAGAACATTAGACATTCTATGAACAGGCCTAGAAAGGCAGCCTGTTCTAAGACTTATTGACGTTTTATCTTAGTATAAAGCTAAAATAGAGTAAATGTGAGAGTATTTGTTTCATTAATATATTTTTAACTACACTAAAATAAATATTGTAAAATCGGAATATCAAGAAATAATGTTTCACATAAAGTTTTATCTATTTTCACAATATATATAATGACATCAGAAACAACACCCTGTTGCCAACTTTTTATTATTTAAGTATTATTCCAACTCCCTCACTCGCGATGCTATTATTAAATTATTTGGAATATTTTTATATATATCAAACATTTTAAATAAAATAGAACCACGGCCCACATTTGATTAAATATACATAACTAACCGAATGAACAGGGTTGGCCTCGCCTAGCCGGTTCAAAATCACTATATTAGGTACCACTCAACAAGATCAACCTAGTTTATGATAATTTAAACAGTGAATAATATGTGAAGGTTATTCACATATTAAACAAAATTTTAACGCGGGATTCAATCCCGGTTCATGACTGTCGGGAATCGAGGGTGTTACCCACTCGTCCACCGACTTGTTTTATATGCCTCGCCTAGGTTTTATTTGAGTAGTGTTTCAACAAATATATTATTTATTAGCGGACGTACCCGGCTTCGCCCGGGTTTTACCCGAGTAAAGGTTTGTCTAACGAATCTCTCGATAAAGTGAACATTTTTTCCCGGTCCCTTGAAAAATACTCGATAAGTTGAATAAAATCAATATTAATTGGTTCCCTCGGTAATTGGAAGTTAAAGGAATAGTATCTTGCCTTGGAATTGTATCATTATTCTTGTCTCAAATAAATTGCCGTGTCATCCTGAATTTTGTCTTTCCTAATTTTCTACATTAGAAAATCATCGTATCATAATGATAATATTTAGAGCAGATTGTTGAATCATAACAGATAAATTAGAATATTTATCTTGATTATTTTTAGGCGAAAAGTTATTTCAAAAATTTTATTTGCTAGAAACCTTCCCAGTACTATACTAAATAACTTCCCAAAGTTTCATGGCGTTCCAATGAGTGGTTTGGTCAGGCATAAAGGACACACACACACATACATTCATTTTTATATATATAGACTAGCGGACCCGCCCGGCTTCGCCCGGGTTTTACCCGAGTGAATGTTTGTCTAACGAACATTTGTTAAAACAATTCTCTTTAAACTTATAAAACGTACTCGGCTTCGCCCGGGGTTTTACCCGAGTAAAGGTTTGTCTAGCGAACATTTGTTAAAACAATTCTCTAAAAACTTATTAAAAAATAAAAAAGATATATTTTGATAATTTGAAACTCGTAAATTTGAATCTCTCGATAAAGTGAACATTTTTTCCCGGTCTCTGTGTGCCTTGTCATCCTGAATTTTGTCTTTCCTAATTTTCTACATTAGAAAATCATAGTTTTATCTAGTGAACATTTTTTCCCGGTCCCTTGAGAAATACTCGATAAGTTGAATAAAATCAATATTAATTGGTTCCCTCGGTAATTGGAAGTTAAAGGAATAATATCTTCGCCTTGGAATTGTATCATTATTCTTGTCGCAAATAAATTGCCGTGTCATCCTGAGATAATCTTACTTTTGATAAATAATATTTAAGATAACAAACTTAGTGATAAGAAAACTTGTTATCATCGTCACAATGGGGGCGCTGCTTGCGAGTTAAATCTACAAATCTGCAAATAACTCTAAGGATATTCAAGATATTCATGAAATTATTTTTCAAAAACCTTCCCGGTGATATACCTAATAATATCCCAAAATTTCACGGCGATTGGATGTATGGTTTTTGAATCTATAGAGTACAGACAGACAGACATTCAATTATATATATTTAAGATAATATAAAAGAGTTTTAAAAATTGTAAAAAAAAAAAAAAATGCATCGGCCGGGAATCGAACCCGGGCCGCCCGCGTGGCAGGCGAGCATTCTACCACTGAACCATCGATGCTTAAAAAAATGGCCATATTTAGGTATTCATTCCATTCCGGATTAGTCCGCGTAAAAAAGTTCTTCAAATGAAAAAAAAAGAAATAGCCAAAAAACTAATCAAAATGCAGCCGAAAATTTTCCTCAGGTTTATAAAAAGCGACATGCAAAATATGGTACCAATTGGTTCAGTAGTTTTTGAGTTTATCGCGAAACAGACAGACAGACAGAAATTGACTTTTATATATATATAATAGAGATCTACTCTTCATTGTTGGCTTTTTATCTTACATTCATTCTTCATTGTTGACTTTTTATATTACATTTACTCTTCATTGTTTGCTTTTTATCTTACATTCACTCTTCATTGTTGGCTTTTTATCTTACATTCATTCTTCATTGTTGACTTTTTATATTACATTTACTCTTCATTGTTTGCTTTTTATCTTACATTCACTCTTCATTGTTGGCTTTTTATCTTACATTCATTCTTCATTGTTGGCTTTTTATATTACATTCACTCTTCATTGTTGGCTTTTTATCTTACATTCATT